TAATCAGTGGTTTCAACAGCATCACTGTTACATGTCCCTTACTTCCATTATATATAATACAGAATATACATGTAATAGCTTCATCAGTTTCCAGTTGCGTGGCTAGTACAGGTCCTTGTTAAACAATTAGACCACACTGTAATCTAACAGTTGATATAAGCCTTGCATGGACATTTTTACTTACTAAATCCTGCAAATTCATTCCCTTTAATAGAGCATCAAAAAGCAAAGTGCCTGTTGTTACATATTATCAGTATAACATAGAAATGGATAACTACAATTATGGTTTAATTTTACTGTCAGTCTTTGTAGAATTTTTAAATAAAAAGTTTTACTAATATGTTAACGTAATTTGGGTAATTTAAAAAATCTCACTCTAATTCAAGTCTCTATATAATAAATTCTTTTTTTTGAGTTTAATACAAAAAGAAAAAGTTTATTTGAAGAAATTTCATTTGTCCTTATTGCCAGTAAATCTAGAGTTATAGTCAGAGCTGGCTTATCTTTGGTATCTGGTGACATATGTTTATCCCTAGATCCAATTGAATAGTGGTATTTTAATTGGTCAAAAGTAATAGAAGTTAAATTCATATTGAAAAATGAATTTCTCCCAAATAGAATGGTCGCTATTAAAATTATAATTATTATAATAATGTGTTTTTTGCTTCACATATTACAAGTCAGTACTTTAGTTTTCAAAAATGTACTGTAGGCTTTTGGAAAATAAAATTAATATTATTTGCTTTAAAAAATATGGAAAATTCTTTTTTAGGAGAACCCCCAATCAAAAGAAACTTGTTACATGAATTTGACAGGACAATAGAAAATCAAGAAAAATCCTTAAAGTCTTCAAAAAGCACTCCTGATGGTAAAATTTGCTTTTTATTCATATTTTCCTCCTCTATCGGTACTTTCCATAACATTCTTACAGTTATTTTTCTCAGCTCTTTTGGGTATGTAGATAATCGGACAAGACTTTATCGTGTGGTTTGTTAAACTTATTACATCTTGCCTTGTTTGTTATGTGAGCTTTTCCTTAATAACACCTAGTATCATGCAGAGGACACATGAAATGCTTATAAAATAATGCCTTTTTACACTAAAAATTTCTAAGAATTTAGTAAGAACGTAGTATAATAATCGAGTCAAGCCTTTGGCCCTCACCGGTCACTACGTCATGCTTTGCCGAGTCACACGCGGTCTCTGCGCGGGCAGTCCCACAGCATCCGTTGTCCTCACTCTTGGCCCCGTCCTTCTGCCATAGCTGACGTAGCCGATCCCTCTTCTGAGACCACCACACTCGGTCCTCGCACGGCTACTCCTTCCCATTTGTCCTCTTAGCCTTTCCTCACTCTAAACGTAGGCGCACCCAGAACCCCGTCCTTCGATCTCGTCTCCACCTAGACTTCGGTAACTGCCAAGTTATCTGCAACCGCCAGCCAGCCTGGGAACTCCGACTGACGCGTCCCTTTGCCGATCTGATGCCTCGCAGGCCTTGCTACTGTGCATCCCCAGCTGACGTGGCTGGGGCTGAGCTCCCGATTCCGCCCCTGCCACCTGCTCTGTCTGCTGTCCTGCCTTTCTCACTGCCGTTTTGCCAGCTGATCACATCAAAACCTTAATGTCATCTTTTACCTCTCTCCTCGTACTTGACACTCAACCCGTCAACAAGTCCTGTAGGTTGTCCCTTCAAAATATAACAAGAATGTGGTCATTTCTTCTCCCCTCTGCCCCTACCACTGTCATGCAAACCACTGGCATAGCTTCTAACTGATCGCCCTGTTTTCGCCTTTTCCCATCCTCCAGGCTATTCTCCAAACAGCAGCCAGGTCATGTCACTTCACTGTGGCTTCCTATAGCACTTAAACTGAAATCCAAAGTTCTTACCATGAAGTACTTGAAAACAAACAAAACCTATGTAACCGTTGTTCACTATATACTTGGTTCTTGGGTTTGGAAAGGAATTTGGCTAGTGAGGGACAAATTAAATCTAAGTATTAAACTCTAGAGACTGAGTCCTGGGAAGCGTGGGCTGAATCCCACGAGGCAGGAGCACTGTGGAGTTTTCTACCTCGTGTCTCATCTAGTGATAGGGACTTGAAAGTTATCTTAAAAGCGGACTGTTTTGAATGCCCAGATAGCTGCATTATTTCTGTTCTTTTCTCTCTCCTGACTTAATGGTCCTCAAACTTTAGTATGCAGAGAATTCTGAGCAGAGTTGAAAACCATATCCATGATAGCTATTCTTTATGAAAAGCATAAATAATCTCTAGGACAGTTTTATCATACAGAGTTATTACTTGATAAACTGTCTTTCGAGCTGTGTAGGATGTGACCGCTCTCATCTTAAAAACCTGGTGGAACGATGAGGGCCAAAGGCTTGAGCCGATTCCAGAGCCTGCGCGTTAAAGGTGCAGGAAGAACAGGGTCAGGTGTCCGCATGCAGGCCATCCGGTCCTGAAGCGCCAGCTCCGGTGTCATGCCTCAGGGACACGGAGGAACATGTACGTCATTCTCACAGCGCTGCCATTGCACAGAGTGCTGGGACTCTTTCTGGAATTATCTTGGGCCAGTAGATACTCAGTATTCATTTTATCATCATGTCTTACTTTTTATTTTTTAAATGATTTTTTCAGCATGATCACCGCCCACCATTTTCCAGTGAATGATTCTTTTTTCCTTCTAATTTTTATTAACATTTTTACACACAAGAGTTGAGAGAATAACATAATGAATACTCATATGCAACCACCTAGAATCAACAGTATTACTATTTTGCTGTATCTGTTTTACTTAATTGCATATAATATGTGGGTATATATGGTGGTGTATCTATGTGTGTACATCTATTTTTCTGCTAAAACATTTGAGTGTTAGTTTTAGACATAGTGACAGGTCGTAGTGGTGTAACCACAGAGCCATTATTACCAAAGAAAATTTTCTAATAACTTATACAATCTAATCTACAGTAGTCTTCTTATCTTTATTTTTTCTGCGTTTTATTATTAGTTTCAAGTATACAGTACATTGGGTAGACATTTATAGTTTATGAAACGATCTTCCTTTTATTTTGCTTTTTAATGGCATTAGCACTTTAAAATGACCAAGCCATTTGGTTTGGAGACTGTCCTGGATTTGTTTGTTTCCTTATGGTGTCATTTAACTTTTAGTTCTATTTGCTATTTAGATTAAAAACCTAATTAAGATCAGTTATGCGTTTCGGCAAGAACACCTCACAGAAGCACTGTGTTCCTTCATTTCGGGGTCTCATTACGTCAGACACTTCGGTCACCTCTTCGGGAAGGCTTATTTTCCCTTTTGCAATTAGCACATACCTTACGGGATGATCTTTTGGTACCGCGGGGAGGTCCAGTTTATGAGACAACCTTTCAATCACAACCTCAGTATCCAATGATGGATGATATTACCTGAATCAGTTATTTAATTAGAGATGGAAAAATAGTGATGTTCAAATTCTGTTAGTTCTTATGCATTTATTAGCTGGGATTCCTCAGCAAGGAAGAGTTCACCCTTAATGATGGGAATGAGCTATATAGTTCTTCCTAAAAAGGCTTAATTTTTTTTGTTTAATTACCAGTTTTTCAGAGTAAGGAGTAGGTGTTGTAATAATTACTGCTATTGGTAGCAAATGAATTTTTTCTCTTGAGTAAAATTGATTTCTTAGATTTTTATTTATAATGAATCTATAAAGTTTAAAAGTAAAATACATTATAAATATGTATATTTTTACAAAAAGAAAACTTTTTTTTTTATTTTAAATTTTCCCAAGTTTGAAAGTGGAAACCTCTTTAAAGTCTTTTCCAGGGGTTCGTTTGCTTTTGTTTTTTAGCATGCCTTTGAGCAATTTCATGCTCTTTATTGTCATGAAAAGATTTCCCGGCTGTCCCTGTAATTCTTGCCCCATTCCCAGAATCACCATTTCTCCCAAGATGCTTTCAGATCGTTCATGCGTCACATTTCTTAGAGTCATCACACTGAACTGGGCAGCAGGATACACCAGCAGTGCAAACCCCAACACAGTGAAAAAGACATACATAACAGATTAGTTTTGATGGCTTGGATCCCCTAGTAGGTCATGGGTACTCTGCCCTCAGAGTTTCATGGATCTCCCTTTGAGAATTACTGTCTTACAGTATATACATAATAGATTCAAATTTACTCTGTATGTTCTCACTACCCTTTCTTACTCAAACGGTGTCAGTACAGAACCATATTGTACCTTCGTTGTTTTAAAATGTATCCAGACATCCTACTGAGCATGCAAAGCTTGTCCTCGTTCTTTTTATGGTTGCATAAGACTCGATCATGTGGCTCTATCACTGCATTCTGTTTTTTTCAACCAATCCCCTATTAACAGACTAGTTAAAGGTATAAGTTACATACTGAGAATAAATAATATCAAAAATTTAACTCGTAAACCTTTATAAGACTAAGTCTTAAATTTGATATTTGCATTGGCAGTGAGCTAACACTTTGGAGTTATTAACATCGGCTGACTAAATTTATACTGATTTATGTTTGCCTTGTGAGTTATTTGGTATATAGTCTATCAAATTATGAATTAAATATTTCTTCTGATAGTTACCTACTGAGCATTCATTGCATGCATTGAAAATTTTAAGGTCTATAACCGTCTTAATTTTTTGTGTAAATTTTTACAATAATGTATGATAAGCAGACATAAGAAATAAAATCTCCCATTAGACTATCATTAATACATAATGTAAAATATTTTTCTAGGCACAATAAATGATAGAAGATTGTTTATGCATCACGTTTCTTTAGAGCCAATTACCTGTGCACCCTTTTGGTAAGACATGTTTAAATTTTTTAAATTCTACTAATATAGTGTAGGACAAGTATGGGTTTTTTTAAATAAATATTTCTAAAAATAATGGCATTAATATGCAATAAGGGGTTAACACATCCCTTTTTTGAAAGCCTATGTCAAGATTAAATAATTCTATACTTTGGTAGTACTTCATTGTGCTGTTGATATTATTATCTCACTTTTTAGAGTCATAACTAACAACTCTGTAAAGTGGACAACAAGATTTTATTCCAGTTTTTGGATGAGGTACTGAGGTTGAGGGGCATTAAGAAATTACTCAAAAACAATTAAGAAAAAGATGGCATATATGGAAAAGATGGTTTTATCTCTCCTCCCTCTCAAAGGTCTACTAAAATTACTAAGAGAATTTTTTAATGTATAAATCCACAAGGACAAAGGTCAGAAGAAACAACAAAACTTTGGAAGCCAAACGTGTGAAAGACATAAAAAGCCAAGACCTGATATGAGAGCAGAGACGCTGTTCCGCTTCCCCTGGAGAGCCTGAGAGAGGCACGCTGGCAGCAAGTGCTTCTGGCCTCGGGGTAGAAAACAGGAAGATTAGCTGAAATCTGTTTAAGAAACATCCATATCCCCTCCCCCACTGCAGACTGACAGTTTTCTCTTACAGAAGGTTATTCTCAGAAGGTGAATTGGAGGGATTCTGAATTGGGGGTGGGACCGGGGGAGGGGACTGAAAACAGGGTTACTGTTGAGCAGTGAGACCCCTTAGCCTCCTTTCCACCGTTGGCTTCCAAACACTGGGGGCCAGACCTCTAGGCAGAAGACTGGAAGATTTTTTTCTGAGGAATATAACCATCCCTGTACAAAAAAAATAAAAATACTTTCAGTTGGGGTCCTCAAATCCAACAGCACAGCCAAACGACCAGACAACAAGGCCAACAGCTGACCAGCCCACCAGCTCCCAGCCAGCTGTTCACTGCTCACCCTTAACTAAGGACAGTCAAGAGTCACTCACCATTGAAAGGACGCCTCTGT